TGTGTTATTGATAGTGGAACAACTCATGTCATATTCAACGATCAGAAATACTTTTCTTATTTGCATAAGGAAAAGCAAATATTACAACAATTTCTGGTAATATAAGTTTGATGGAAGGCTCCGGAAGAGCCATAATATTTCTGTCTAAGGGAACAAAACTTATTATAGACAATGCATTGTTCTCCTCCAAGTCCCGAAGAAACTTATTGAGTTTTATAGATATCCGCCGAAATGGGTATCATGTTGAGACAATAGATGAAATGAACATGAAATATCTGTGTATTACAAAGAATATTTCTGGCCAGAAATGCATTGTAGAAAAGTTACCAGCTTTATCTTCTGGCTTATACTATTCAAAAATTAGTACAGTTGAAGCACACTCTATCGTAAACCAGAAGTTTACGGATTCAAATACTTTTGTGCTTTGGCATGACCGTTTGGGCTATCTTGGATCAATAATAATGAGACGAATTACTGAAAATTCGAGTGGGCATCCATTAAAGAACTTGAAGATTCTTACAAATGACGAATTTTCTTGTGATGCTTGTTATCAAGGAAAAATGATCACTAGACCATCACCAATGAAGGTTGGTATTGAATCCCCTGCCTTTTTAGAGCGTATACATGGGGATATATGTGGACCTATTCACCCACCAAGTGGGTTGTTTAGATATTTTATGGTCCTAATAGATGCATCTTCAAGATGGTCTCATGTGTGCCTACTATCATCTCGCAACCTGGCGTTTGCAAAGCTATTAGCCCAAATAATTCGATTAAGGGCACAATTCCCAGATTATCCTATAAAGGCTATTAGCCTTGATAATGCTGGAGAATTCTCATCTCAAGCTTTTAATGATTATTGTCTATCAGTTGGGATAAAAGTTGAACATCCTGTAGCTTATGTTCATACTCAAATGGCCTTGTAGAGTCATTTATTAAACGCCTACAATTGATAGCAAGACAACTATTTATGAAAACAAAATTGCCCACTACTGTTTGGGGCCATGCTATCTTGCATGCAGCATCACTTATCCGTCTAAGACCGACACATTATAATAAATATTTTCCGTCATAATTAATTTTTGGTCATGAACAAAATATTGCCCATCTACGAATTTTTGGTTGTGCTGTATATGTGCCAGTAGCACCACCACAGTACAGTAAGATGGGGCCACCGAGAAGGATAGGAATATATGTTGGGTTTGAATCACCCTCTATTATTCGCTATCTTGAACCATTGACAAGAGATTTATTTACTGCTCGATTTGCAGATTATCGGTTTGATAAAACAAATTTCCCACAATTAGGGGGAGAGAAAAAGGAAATTAAAAGAGAAATTATGTGGAAAGTTTCATCATTATCTCACTTTAATCCCCGTACCCCTATATGTAATCAGAAGGTCCAGAAGATCATTCATTTACATAATATAGCAAATCAAATGCCAGACGTATTTACTGATTTGAAAAGGATAACTAAGTCACATATCCCAGCAGAGAATGTGCCATCGGAATGGATGTCTTAGTAGGACCATCTACTAGCATGAGAGCTAGTGAACCTAAAGCACGCCTGAAGCGCGGTAGGCCTTTGGGTTCTAAGGATCGAAATCCTCGAAAAAGAAAATCGACAAATAATCAAAACGATACTATGAAGGGATCTCCTAAAGAGACCTAAAATCTAATTAGTTCTGAGATTCCTGAAGAAATCAATGAACCCGAGGCTCATATGAGTGAGGAACTTTTAATAAGTTCGATCGGTGATGGGATTAATTTAAATCGATCTGAAATAGTGGTGGATAATATTTTTGCATATAATGTTGCACTTAATATTATGCAAGATAGTGAGGATCTTGAACCTCGATTTATCGAAAAATGTTGACAAAGATCTGATTGGCCAAAATGGCAAGAGGCAATTCAATAAGAATTGAAGTCACTTGCTAAAAGAGAGGTCTTTGGACCGGTAGTCCAAACACCTACTGGTATAAAACCAGTTGGTCATAAATGAGTTTTTGAGCGAAAAATGAATGACAAAAATGAAGTTGAAAGATACAAAGCTCGCCTTGTTGCACAAAGATTCTCACAACGACCTGGAGTCAATTTTGATGAAACATATTCACCTATTATGGATGCCATAACATTTCGATATCTCATCAGTTTAGCACTATATGAAAAGCTTGAAATACTTCTAATGGATGTAGTTACAGCTTATCTGTATGGTTTACTTGATAATAAAATTTATATTAAAATCCCTGAAGGATTTAAAATGCCTGAAGAAAAATCTCAGGAAATGTATTCAATCAGAATACAAAGATCTTTGTACGGTTTAAAGCAATCTGGGCGCATGTGGCATAATCGCTTTAGTGAATATTTGCTGAAAGAAGGTTACATAAATGATGTTATTTGTCCATGTATTTTTATAAAGAAAATGACATCAGAATTTGTTATACTTGCTGTTTATGTTGATGACATAAATCTTGTTGGAACTCCAGAAGAGCTCTAAAAGGCAATTGAATATCTTAAGAAAGAATTTGAGATGAAAGATCTTGGAAAGACAAAACTTTGTCTTGGTCTGCAAATTGAACATTTAGCAGACGAGATCTTTATCCATCAGTCTGCCTATACAGAAAGGGTCTTAAAATGCTTTTACATGGACAAAGCGCACCCATTGAGTACACCAATGGTTGTTCGATCACTTGAAGTGAATAAGGATTTGTTCCGACCTCCAGAAGAGGACGAGGAACTCCTTGGTCCCGAAGTACCCTATCTCAGTGCAATTGATGCACTAATGTATCTTGCTAATGCTACAAGGCATGACATATCATTTTCTATTAATTTACTAGCAAGATATAGTTCTTCTCCTACACGGAGATATTAGAACAAGATTAAGCATATATTGCAATATTTAAAGGGAACTCTTGATATGGGTTTGTTTCATGCTAACAAAGATAGTGCAGATCTTGTTGGTTATGCAGATGCATGTTATTTATCTGATCTCCATAAAGCTCGATCTCAAATCGGGTATGTATTTACAAATGGAGGTACTGTCCTATCATGGCGCTCCACAAAGCAATCTATTGTTTCTACTTCTTCAAATCACGCTGAGATAATAGCTATTCATGAAGCAAGTAGGGAATGCGTATGGTTGAGATCAATAATTCATTTTATTCAAGAAAAATATGGTTTGGAATGTGAAAAAAGACCCACAATTTTATACCAAGACAATGATGCATGCATAGCCCAATTGAAGGGAGGATTTATAAAAGGAGATAGAACGAAGCACATTTCACCAAAATTATTCTACACACACGAACTTCAGAAAAGTGGTGACATTGATGTGCAACGAATTCGTTCAAGTGATAATCCAGCAGATTTATTCACTAAATCTTTGCCAACTTCAACTTTTGAGAAGATGGTATACAATATTGGAATGCGGAGACTCAAATATTTGAAACAAGGTTTTCATTAGGGGGAGTAAAATACGCGATGCACTCTTTTTCCCTTATTAAGGTTTTTTCTCATAGGGTTTTCCTTATAAGGTTTTTAATGAGGCACCTAGCAATGCGTGTTACTAAATATATGTACTCTTTTTCCTTCACTGGGATTTTTTCCCACGTGATTTTTTCCTAGTAAGGTTTTAATGAGGCACATTATCTTTTAATGAACATCCAAGGGGGAGTGTTATAAATATATTATATTATGGATGTTCATTTAGTACTCCGTTGTAAATAAGCTTCCTGAAGAAGCTTATCCATATGGGACTCCGCCGTAAATATGTTTATCTATTTAGTACTCTATTGGAAATAAGCTTCCTGAAGAAGCTTATCAGTTCGGTACCCGGTTATGGATAAATATTATCCCCAGTAGAAGATTATCCATACCAGGTATAATAAGCTTATCCTTTCGGTACCCGATTATGGATAAATATTATCCCCAGTAGAAGATTATCCATACCAGGTATAATAAGCTTATCCTTTCGGTACCCGATTATGGATAAATATTATATCCGGTAAAAGAATATTCATATCGGGTACAGTAAGCTTATTCTTTCAATACTCCATTATGGATAATCATTACCCCTAGCAGAAGATTATCTATGTTGGGTACAATGAGCTTATCCATTCAGTACTCCGTTATGGATAAATATTGCTCTCAGTAGAAGATTATCCATATCTGATATGATAGCAGCTTACACAGCAGCTTGCAGTAGCAGCTTACACAGCAGCTTGCAGTAGCATCTTACACATCAACTTTCTTTCTTCTATAAATAGAAGAGACTACAGTTCATTATGTACATTAGTTTGAATTCGAATAATATATCAGTCTCTCTCTATACTTGTCTTTACTTTACATTCTTTATTTTATAACAATATCAACATTTTAGGCCTACAACTACCCCTGAGAAATGTGGCCTAAGATGCCAAGAAGTGTAGCATTTGGTCAAAGGCAACACTTTACGACTTTAGGTAACGGTTTTGGGGGTGGCCTAAAGTACTGTAACCTTTCACTATTGTCCATGCTTTGTAGGTGTTGCCTTAGAAGCCATGCTTTAAAAGTGTGGCCAATAAGGTACAAAGTCCACGCTTATATTTTCTCATATAGCCACGCTTTTATGACATAAGGCTACACATTTGAAGCGTGATCTTTGTCACGTTAGAGACTACGCTTTTAAAGTGTGGCTTCTGGAGCAACATTTATCATAAACAACACCATATTAATAAACCTTATGGCCACACTTTCTAAGCGTGGCAATTTTCTCTACACCACGAAGAATTTTTTTAAATATTTATTTTAGCCATAATTTTGTGGTTAAAAAATTATATTTGTTTATATTAAATTTTGTCCATATTTATTATATATATATATATATATATATATATATATTATGATCTCAAGCATTAAATTAGATAATAAGTAACAGAATAAAAATAATTCAAATGCATATACTTGAAATAAACTTCAACAAAGAAACATACTTTGTGTACTATCTATAGTAACAAAGCACTGTTGGTTCAACAAGTTCACTAGCAAAAACCTCAACAAAACCAAATGTATTCATATTTATAGTATCAATATAAAAAAATAAACATCACAATTGTTCAAAAGGTCTTCACCATTCACTTTAATGAATCAAATTGATTTGTGGCCACTAGTTCCAATTGCATCACCGATATTTTCCTACACATTCAAAATAAAATTAAAAATTAAAAAGAAACAAATATATAGTATGCACTGAGTATATCTTACTAAGAACTAATGAGATATTATTTCACTACTATAGCATAACAATGTCAAACACAAAAATGATATACAAGTGAAAGAGAAGCAAAAATGTGAATTAACATACATTTTACCTATCTCCTATAATCGCAACAATCAACAATAACCACCCAGTATAATCTCACAAGTGGAGTCTGGGGAGGGTAGGATGTACGCAGCTTACCCCTACCCTGGAGGGGCAGGGAGACTGTTTCTGATAGACCCTCGACTAAAGAAGGTAAAGGAAGCCATGAGGGAAACTTATAGTGTACAAGAAAATAAATCAACAAATAACAAGTGAGATCAAAAGCATTCTCCTTTTTCCCGTAGTTCCTTTCCCTCTTCCCTGAGGTATGCTTACACATCTCATCACAAACATCTAAACAGAGAGAAAAATAGGATTGCGAGCAGCATTAAGTTGCACAAAATTACAGGTGTACTATCTGGTGAAATATAAATACCTTTTCAAGACTCGGGGCATGAGTTGAGCAAGAAGAATGTGGAAGATTATGGCCTCTCATAGCTCATGCACTACTTGCATCAACCAGTGAAGGAATATTAGATCCAACACACCCTTGTATATCATGAAAATCTAGTGCAGGGTTGTTTTTCACCAATTGACTAAAAAAATATCGCATTTCTTCTCTCATCATTTCTTCCTTCAGAGAAGTTATTTTGTTGGCATGCTGTTGTTTAAGTTTTGTGATTTTTTCATCTTTTTTTGGAGATCTTGTCGTCACCGATCTACCATAGCATCTAACCTGACCAGGCTGCTCATTTCCAAATACAACCTTAAATGCATCATTTGCTGTTTTTCTAGAACTTTGACGATTCTGAAGTTCAGACTGTCAAAAAAATATTATAAAAAAGAATATTAAGAACTTTATATCTCAAAAAGCTCGAAAAGTAGATTTCAAATAAAAATGTATCTTATAACTTAAACTGTTATAAGGGTGATAGGAGGCTATAGAAAGCAAAGGGTGAAATGCATAACTACTTCTGAGATTGCTCTCTACCTCTAGCCAATGAGGAAGCGCATCCAAGATGGTAGTCCACAACAACTTACATTGCTTTTCAATGTAACAAAGAGAATCAAGAGAATAAGAAAAAAAGACACAGAATGCTGAACCAAGATGAAGACACTGTAATGCAAGACATTACCATTAACATAGAAAGGAACATGTATTTTGTATCATAGGGACAAGCAAATGCTCCATTACAAAGAATTTGCAAGAGGACGTTGTTTTCTTCCCTATTATCCTTTTATTACGAATCCAAAAAAATGTACTTTGAAAACAACAGATAATACATGGATATGCTAAAGGGACTCATAAATCTACAAATGTCACACTCAACCTATTCATGGTATCAAGCATACCTGCATATCCTTTTTAGCACAATCAGACCAGTCATCACCCTTAGTTGAGTTTTTTTGCCTGTAGGTTTCCCGTTAACAAGGGAAAAAAAGTTGCATCATAATCGCCAGTAGAACAGAAAAAATGAATCATGCAATTACTGATTACCTCTGAATTAGGAAAAATTGTTTCCCCACCCTTCTCAACATCAGATAAATACATAAGAACAGTAGCCACCCAATGACCGCCTAGCTCTTGATTGACTTTGTCATGAAAATAATAAAATGTGGCTCGTACTTTTGGCCATGTTCGTAATGCAATATCTGAATAGATTCCTCGTTCTCTGTATTCCAACTTAATNATATATATATACATACATACAAAAGATAGGGAGATGAAGCCACTCAACATTATATAACTGCAGTACCTTCAAGAAGGAACGTCCAGGCAGCTATCCTAGCCTCCACATTAGCAACTACTTGATTCTTATGAATTAAAAAGCAAATGTCAGTGGTCTTGTTCACTCATTAACCTAGACTAATATAAGTCCACGAGGGAAAAGTTTCTAAAGAAGAGCATGCATTATAGTATAGTTCAGAAATTTAATTTTCAAATTGGAAGCAAGGATGAAGAACTTAGCAGAATATCATCAGAGCAAAAAAATACATTCAGAAAGAAATCATCGACTCAACCTAAAGGGAATCTAAAAAGACAGGCCATCTCTAAAAAGGATTCTAGAAGCATTGAATGATAAACACATAATGCTCAAGAGAGGTTTTTCCATACTCAACTACAGTTCATTTCACAATATGCTTGGTTCACCCAATATGGTACATGATTAATAAGTCTACTCCTTTTCACATAGAATGAAAATGAAATAAATAGAAAGTTTGAAATTACATATCAAAATGTATTCTAAGTTCTAATCTTGTTACCACATATATTCCTTAGAATATGGAAATCAATCATGTATTGGTAAATTAGCCCAGTATCATTCAATAACAAACATTGAACTACCATTTTGAACTATCTTCATTTCCAAAAAAAGCAAAATCGAAAGCATGATCTTGCTGAGAGAAAGTTGATCATACCCTACAATAATTAAAATATTTATTGGGTCAAATGGTCAAAAAAGTGTCATGAGCATATTGACAAGTATAATGACACCTAAAAGGGGTATTGTACGTATAAAGATTAAATAACTAAGAGAAGATAAGATATATCTAACTAGCTATTTATGATTTCATCAACTCTAAAGAAGAAACTCAAGAACTATCCATATTCTGAAATTACTAAAGGAAAACTTTGATACCCAAAAATTACCTTTTGCCATTGTTACAAAAACACAAGAATCGGGTGGATTGATGAAACAAGAGACTGTTAATCAACATTTACAAGGCAATTTGGGTGTGTGTTCATTCAACACTCATATTGCATTCAATATTGTGAGAATTCAACATAATTTGACAATTTTTATATGGTGAAATTAACCTACACTTCAATTATTAACATACCATAAAAAATAAGATAAAATTTGACTAGTGATGAAGTTAATATACAAGACAACTAATAAAAACAAAAAATCAAGACTCAATAACCTGTATAACTCCCAAAGAGTAACTACTTTCCACAGTACGAAGAAGGAAATTTTGAGAGCAAAAGAAACCAACCCGCAACTTTGAGGAAGGGAGTTTTGATAACTACTGAAACATTTGTGCATAGACGATAATATAGCCGTTGGGGAAGAGGGTTTTGATAACTACTCCCAAACGATAAAGGAAATTTTGAGAGCAAAAGAATCCAACCTGCAGCATAAACGATAATACTTATTTTCAACTCAAGAATATGAAATTAAGATAAAATTGAAAACTTTTACAGCTTGTTTGGATGATTGTTATGCATCGTTTCATAATGTATCGTATCGTACTGTATTGTATTGTACTGTATCGTTTGATAAATACAATATTTGGATAGATTGTGTCGTTTTCTATCGTTTTATGATATCACGCACCAGCAATATGAAGAATAAACTTGCAACATTATAAAGAAAAATTATGATACAAGGTAAAATTATTATATAAAAAAGTAGGGTAAACGATAAAATAAAATAATTTAATAATAATAAAAGGTGAGATTGAGAGAAAAAGGCAAGGTAACGACGCGATCACACCAAATCGGTCGTTACATAAAGTGGCACATTTTGTCGTTATGTAACGACAGATTTAACGATACGATACAATAAAATTTAAGTTACAATCAAAATAAATATTGTATTTAAAGTAACAATACGATACGATACAATGAGTAACAACCATCCAAACAAGCTGTTATAGCCAAAAATTAACCAAAAAATCACTTATGTAATTCCAATAATAAGAAATTGAAAAAGAGTAAAACATTCAGTATAAAATAAAGACTATACAAAGCCCAGTAATTATACAAAAATATATTACTTCTATCAATCCCATTGATAAGAAGCTAAACAAACTAAAGCTTTAACTATGAGATTGAAGACTATACAAAAATATCAAAAATTAAACAAAAAATATTACTTTTATTTCAACCCGAGAATCTGAAATTAGTAAAAAATTAAAAACTTTGATACCCAAAAATTAAACAACACTAAATTACTTCTTTTTAGCCCAAGAATTTGAAATTAGAAAAAGTTCAAAACTTTGAGTATAAAACAAATATTGTACCAAGATACCCAAATATTGTACACAATAGAAGATTATTTTTTCATCCCCTTTAGTAAGAAACTAGAAAATTTGAATCTTAAAATATAAGAACAAAACTAAAAATTCAAAAAACAAAAAAGTTTTGAGCAAAAGAAATACTTACCAATAGAGAAAGAGATGGAGATTTGCTATGGGTGAGAGTAATCTGGAAGACAGAAGCAATGAATATGTAGGAATGAATTAGGTTCAGGGAGGCAGTGAAGGTAAATGTGAAGTAGCGGCAGCTTAGAGAAAAGAATTGGGGAAAATTTTTTCCAGCAGTCTTATTTGGGCGATGATTTCATTGTCATCCTGTATTGGTTTGGGAGGGTGGGGGAGGGGGAATATTTTCTTTAATTGTAATATTTGGAGCAAACTTTTGAGCGAAATTTGTATAAGATATTTTTAGACTGCATCCAAATGCATTATGATTAATAAACGTTGCCACATAATTTGTGTATTGGTAACATTTAAAAAGTGTGGTCTTTATATTTTAAGAGCACGCTTTTTAAGAGTAGCCTTAAAAATCGTGACCGAAGACTCTAATTAAAGGCCACACTTATAAAGTGTATCTATAGATATTTTTGGCAACACTTTTCAAGCGTGGTCTATAATTAGTATGGCCGTAGGCCTAAAATGCTGTAGTACTGGACCAAGACAATGATTTTAATATGAGAAATTGTAACGACCCGACCGATCGTTTTGAGCTTTTGCACTTTGATCACCAGTTCTCGAGCATGACTTGCCCCATATGATGTATTATGATTGATGTAAATCATAGTTTTTTTTCTCGGGAATCGGTATGAATTTGAAAGAACAGTCTTAGTTGAAAGATTTGAATTTGAAAGGTTTGACCAAGAGTTGACTTATTTGTATATGAGCTCGGATCGGAATTTTTATGATTTGGTTAGCTTCGTTGGGTGATTTTGACTTAGGAGAGTGATCGGAATTGGTTTTGGAGGTCCGAAGTAGAACTAGGCTTGAACTAGCGAAGTTGAGATTTTGGCGATTTCCGGTTGGTAGGTGAGATTTAGATCTGGAAGTCAGAATGGAATTCCTAGAGTTGCAATAACTGTGTTATGTCATTTGTGATGTGTGTGCAAAGTTTCAGGTCATTTGGAGGTGGTTTGGTTAGGTTTTTGATCAAAAGCATATTCCGGAAGTTTTAGAAAAACTTAGGCTTGAATTCGATGTGAATTGGTGAATTTGGTGTTATTTGAGGTGTTTTGATGATTGGAATAAGTTTGAATAAGGTTTTAGGATGTGTTGGTGCTTTTGGTTGAGGTCCGGGGGCCTCGGGTGAGTTTCGGGTGGTCAATCAGACCATTTTCTAAGTTGAAAAGTTGCAGATTTTGGGAGTTCAGGTGTTGCAGAAAATAACCCTTCACGTTCGCGAGGGGTATGTCGCATTCGCATAGAAGGAATTTGGGAGGAAGGAATTTAAGCCATCGCGTTCACATTTGAAGGCTCGTATTCGCGGAAGGCAAAGAGTTGGTGCTTTGCGTTCGCATGAGTATGCTCTCGTTCGCGTATAAGGAAATGGGGTCCAAGGGCAATTGTTCTTCGCGTTCGCGTGTGAGGGAATGCGTTCGCGTAAGTGTAAAGCCTGAAGCATCGTGTTCGCGGAGGGTGAGTCGCGTAAGGTTAATTTTGGCTAATTTAAAAATGTGCTTCGCGTTCGCGAGGCTAAGGTCGCGAACGCGATGAATAGATATCAGAACTGGGCAGAAAGTTATAAAACATTTCATCCGCGATTTTGGGGCTCATTTCCCCTATTGTTGATCATCTTGAGAGATTCTTGGCGGAGATTAAAGAGGGATTCAAGGGAAATTGATTGGAGGTAAGATTTTTGAACTCAATACTCATTTCTATTGTGAAATCCACCTAGAAATTTATGGAACTAAGCCTAAAAATGGAAGAACTAGGGCTTGAGATTTTGTAACTTTTAATTGGAATTTGAAGGGCCATTGGAGGTCGGATTTGAGAACTTTTGATATGTATGAACTCATGGAAGGATAAGGAACCCATTGATGTAAAAATTTCTGAGTTTCGAGAAGTGGGCCCGGGGCTCGGGTTTTGGTAATTTCGGGATTTGTGCCCGTTATTGATTATTTTCACTTGGGCTTTGTTCCCTTAGAATATTGTGATATATTCGTTCTGATTTTGGATAGATTCAACACGCATGGAGGCCGACTTGAGAGGCAGAAGCGTCGCGAGCTAGAGATTTCGCCGGTTCGGGGTGAGTAATGATTGTAAATGATATTCTAAGGGTTTGAAACCCCGGATTACGCATCGTAGTACTATATTGAGGTGAGACATACAATGGATGACTGGCGCGGGGTCGTGAATTATTGGGTATTGTGACTTGGTCCGTCCCGATTGATGATTTTTCCACGTATTTAACTGAAAACTAATTGTTATCATCATTATTTGAGCTGAATGCCATATTTGGGCCTAGTGCCAGCTATGTAAACCCTTCGGGGATTGTTGTTGATATTTTCTCACTGTTTTGATTATATAGTTGAACTCAGTCATGTTATTTTTCACTATTTTTAAAACTCAGCCAAGTTTATTTTGCTTTAACACTTGAAATGATATTTCCAATAATATTTTTGGGCTGAGCATCATATTTTAGCGTTGCTCGAGGGGCTTATGTGATTTTTGACTGAGTAAGGCCGAGGGCCTATATTGTGGGGATACTTTTGGATCGGGCTGCACGCCGCAGCAGTGAGATATTGATTTGATATGAGGTCGAGGGCCTAGATTTGATGCCACAAGATGGCTTGATATTGCGCTTGGACCGTAAGGGGCCCCTCCTAGAGTCCGCACACCCCCTGTGAGCGCCGTCGATAATATATGGATCGGGCTGCACGCCGCAACGGTGTTGATACTATTCTATGTGTTTACTTTATTTCATTTGTCTGCCATTATCTGCTATTTGTGCTACTTCATGTGATATCTATCTGATTGCTTTGCATTATCTATTAATTGAGTGTTGTGCCCAAGGGGCAGAATTTCTGTGCTTATCTGCACTATTTATTTTGCACTCATTTGCGTAACCGTTGAAAAAGTCATTTTTAAAAGAGGTTTAAACTGAGCTAAGATGTTTTTCCAAAGATTTCACAGTTTCACTGCTTTACTCAAAAGGTTATAGACTGCTCTATATAGCATGATGGTTTGTTTTAAGTGATTTCTTACCACTCAGTTATTATTTACATTTATTACTAACTGAGTTGGAGTACTCACTTACTCCCTGCACCCCGTGTGCAAATACATATATTTGTTCACCCGGTAGCGTTTAGTGAGGTGACTGCCAACGTTCGCAGCACCGTATTTATTTCTTTGTTTATCAGTCCTATTAGTTTTATGTTTCAGGCCTTGCAGTGGTATTTATACTCTAATAGATGCTCGTGACTTGTTACACCCTGGTTTGGGCTGTGTCGGGATGGTTTCCACTAATGCTATCGTTAAATTTCTCAATTATAGATATTATATTATGTTTTATTACTGTTTATGATAATTGACCATTTAAAAGAGGTGTTCCATTTTGGTCTGGCTGGCCTTGTCTTCACGAGAGATGCCATCGCGACCGAGTTTGGGAGTTGGGTCGTGACAAGTTGGTATCAGAGCCTAGGTTACATAGGTCTCACGAGTCATGAGTAGGTTTAGTAGAGTCTTGTGAATCGGTACGAAGACGTCTGTATTTATCCTCGAGAGGCTACAGAACCTTTAGGAAAATCTTGAATTCTTATCGTGCGTCCTTGATTCAGCTTAAAAAGTAACTCTTGAAATTCCTTCCACGCATTTGCATGCGCGCATGAGCGCTCAGTATTAGATGTGCCTCAATGGCTTGTGATCCCCTTATCGAGGGGCGAGATGTGATCTCTGTGAGTTTGATGTTGGCCAGTCTGGAGGACTTGAGGCCAGATCCTTGCCTATGGCTTGAGCACTGAGGTGCTGATTGTGTGAGCAAGTGCTTTTGAATTTATATGTTCGGTAATTTTTCCATATTGTGGAAGTGACGGCTGGATGGCTATATAATGAGAATGTTAGTGCTGTGAGATGTATTTGTATGATTTGGAAGTGACGAGAAAGGTCTACTGGAGAATAGAAAAACTATTAGGTGCTTGATTTCTGTTTTGATTTGATTTATATCCCGAGTTATGGGCGTGTGAAGAATCTTTTCATGATTCCTAGTTGGGAGTGAAGTAAATTTCATGTTGCGGTATGAGTTCAAACTTAGGAAGACTAAGTGACTGCGTAAAGTTTATGACAGTGGAAGGTATACAGGAAAGTTAGCAAGAGGAAAAGTAGGTAGGTTATCTCCTGCGGAGTGTTCTAAGGTTATGTGATCCTTATGTTGTCCGTTAGAAAATCTCATCTACAAGTGAAATATAAGTGTTGAAAATTTAAATTTTGGCCGCTTAAGAGAATGGGCTTGGCTGTTGCGCGAGTGAATTGCGAGATTTGCAAAAGAATTAAAATTCTAGATGATCGGTGTTTTCATAAGCTTATAAAAGATTTGAGTTTAATCTCACTATGGTGTTGTGTTGTCAATAGAGTATATGTGTTATGAGTAATTGAGAGTATTTTGATCTATGGCTCCTAGCCAAGTGGGGGAGTCTGTTGTGAGTAGTTGATTGCAAGGTTAGGTGCTACGTTGGTTCCAGTTGGAGGCGTGCAGGTGAATCAGTTATGGCTTGCGGAATAGAGACCGAGGATGGCTCGAGTAAAGGAATTTTTTTTAACAAAGGTTGTATTATGTTTCATAGGGTATGAGAATCACGGGATGTCTTAAGTTGTTGCTGGTAAAGAATGCTCGGTACATAGTGCAAGATGTTGCTTGGATGTGTTGGGATGAGGATTTCATTCTGCGATGTCAGAGTGCTAATGAGGCATGGGTGGTTCTGTTCGTTTGATCAGGCTAATTGCAGTTTGAGGAGAGTGAGTGACTCTCGAGAATGGTTCTAATGTGTTTGAGGTTCTACATGTAACAATTGGGTATATTAAAGTTGTATATGGGGTTAGAAACTGTGTTTTCATTGGAAGAGGTCAAGACTTGTGATATTTCTATATTGATTATAGGATTCTATGTATTATCAGGAAAGCAAAGGTAATGGATTTATATTCGCAGGAAGTTCCTCAAAGTAAAGTATTCTGGAATGTGGTGTTTCCGGGAGTAATTAAGTGAGTATCCAATGGCTTATAGGTCTTAGACAGTGTGGTCTTGTGCTTGGGTCTCATGTGGTAAGCCTAGGTTGAGGAATTGTGGTGCTACAGCAAGAGGGAATATCAAGTTGAAGATGAATCAGAAGGAAATTTAGATAGATAAAGTAGCTTGGTAGT